AGTACGAGTACGAGTACGAGTGTGTGTAGAAATGTCAACCGTTGGCTATAAATTCAACTCCAACTCCAAGACTGGCCACTGGCCACTGGCCTGGCGACCCACTTAAGTCAGTCGGTAATCAAAACGCCTCCCCCCCCCCCCCACCTACAACAGCTAATCGAAGGTCTAACCTTATCGAGGGGGAGACACAGACACAAGCGGAACTCTTATCATGCTGCGATAGCTGCCAACTATAGCTATCAGCAACTGGCGATTTTATTGTTGCACAACTTAAAGTTCGCTTTTGCGTTTAATTTTTGGAATGGGCTAAAAACTGTGAAACTTTTTTTTGTGTGTGGCTGGCTCTGCCATTGAACTTGAACTTTGTTTTGTGTCTGCAAATTGCCAGCAATAAATTCAGCAATGCATCAGTGGCAACAGCAGCAGAGGCTGCAACAGCAGCAGAGGCAACAGAAGCAGAGGCAACAGCAGCAGCAGCCGAAGCGCAACAGCCACATTGACAGTCAAATTAAAGTTTCCATTGCTGGCTGGGTGTACCCTGGACGAGAGAGACAGAGAGAGGGCATTATGAAATGATAGAGATGTTTGGCAAGCAACAAAAGCATAAGGCTTCCTTGAGCTTATTATTAGAGTGAATTTATTGGGGATTAAGCTTAATATATGAAGGGAATACTGCATATTTGTTGCTGCCTTTGACTACTAAATAATGTTGTTTTTTAATATTATTCTTTCCGCTGCACGAAGTGCACTTCGATCAAAGCAACATGATCGAGCAGGAGCACTTTATCGCAACTCAGAGAAATAAATGGAGAAATATTTGCCAATAAATTTGCCAATCGCACTTTAACCCTCGGAAACCCTCAGATCTTTGTCAGAAAAACTGCCTCGTTTTTATGGATCATCCAATCAAAGCGTAGAAATTTTAGCTATACAGAAATGAGAACAGAAATCATAGCCGAAAAAATATCAAAAGGAAGCTCGTAAAATATCACTGCAACCATTCAAATTAAGATCTAGCTACTCTGTTAACAGCTTCCACTCAAATAATTTGTATTAAAGGGTATCTCAAGCTTCGAGCAGCTTTCATCTCTTGAGTTTTCATGTTTTTTTGTAAGCGTTGCTATTGCTGGTGTTTTTTTTTTTGCGTTGGCCATTTAGCATATGGCCCCAGCGACTTGCTGCATTTTTTTTTATCTCTCCCTATCGCACTTTTTCTGCCTCTCTCTCTCTGTGTTTCTCCCTTGTACCCTCTCCCTATTGCACTTCCTTCTGTCTCCCTCTCTCTCTCTCTTTCTCTGACTGCGTGTCGCTAGCAGCTGATGCAGAACCGTTTAACGCTTCGTTGCCTTCAACGTGCAAATGAAGTGCAACAACAGCAACAGCAACAGCAGCAACATAACGCCCTGCCTGCTCCTCCACGCTGGTCACACTCTTACAGTTTGAGAGTCGCTGCTAAAAGGTTCGGACTGCCTGCTCAATGAATGGAGCTGTGTGTTTTGTTTAGGGGCGGAAGACAGCAGCATAAAGGAGGCAGCAGGCATCGATGTTTTGGGGGAATGTTTCTGCTGTGTTGCTTCTTAATTTTTTTTGTTCATTTCTGCTACTCTTCTACAAGCATTTCCCTTCTCCATTTTGCCATTTTGTTTCCCCCCATTTTATGTCTGACTTTTAGAGTTTTGGCGCGCGTTTCCTTTCATTGGGGAAACACTCACTCCAGCTCCCCCCCCTTTTTGTGTGTCTTTGCTTAAAGACACTTTGCTGTTGCTGTTGCTGCTGCTGCTGCTGTCCATTGAAGTTGTCTTTGTTGCAGTCATTAGGTTGAGTCTCGCTTAGTCGTCTGATGAATCATCAAGTGAGTTGCAATGCGAAAATGAAAGTTGAAAGGGAAAACAGAGGATGATGTTGCTGAGGAAGGATGTTTGGGGCTGCTAGAAAGCTAATGGTGTAATAAGGGAATAATAATACGAAGGAAAAGCATACAAAAACCAATTTTGCTTTAATTTTTCAGAGCATTTTCCCCCATGTGTGGGGGGTCCACAATATAATCTTGCAAAAATCTGCCACTATAATCTTACAAATTAAAGCGTTAAGCGTTTGCTGCTTAATTTTCCTGCCATTTAAGGTGCTGGCTGGCTACCGAAAGCTCTCCACTCCACTCTATAATTATCTCCGATTAAATGCTTAGCGCAGTGTGCTTTATTGGCCAAGCAAATTGAGCCGCTTCTACACTTATGGGCCAGGCAAATTGAGCCCGAGCTCAAAGCCGCCAATACCAATATTAGCATTGGCATGCGGTTCGTTTAATTCCTCTGGATATATAAAACATACATGCATATAGGTATGACCTCATGCGAGATATGAGCAAGACCTATCCACGTTTGGCATAGTCAATTATTAAATGGAAAACAAATAGAAAGACACTTGGGGGGCGTGCAATTATTTGTCAGTGATGCGATGAGCGAAATATCTGTAGATCTGTAGGCTACCACGATTCAGGCAATTGTTTTGTCAGTGAATCGCGGTTTTTATTTTCACTTTTTCTATAGTTATTCGATACCTCCAATGACTCCTCAGGTAATGCAATTTATTGGCAAATATTTCTCCATTTATTTCCCTTAATTTCTCGTATTTCATTAATTGTTTGTTGGTGATTCTACAGTTCAGCAGCTTCCCCTCTCTCTCCTCCCATACACCCCTCCTGTTGGCTTTATATTCTCCAACGTCTATCACCTTCCCATATCCAATGCATTGGCTCACTTTTCGATAAACATCTAACACGTTTTCCATTTTAATTTGCGTGTCGCTTATGCAAATTATGCCGCGGCAACTGGTTGAGGTTTTCCATTGGACTCATCATAGTCCCCGTGTCCTCCCCTCCCCCTGCAAGCTATGGCTAAGCAAAGTCTCAGCTTCAATCCACTATAGCCGCGGGTTGAATCTCAGTTCAAGGTCAGTCCGTGTCCGAGTGTGAATCCATTGGTTTAATTGAGCCAAAGCTGAGCTGAGCTGAGCTCATGCTCTGGCACCATTAAAAGTGCTGCTTCGACTTTTACGACCTCTGGTCATATAAAAGTGCCACCAGATAATATTATTTAATTGTTAAGGCATCCTGCTCCAGCCATTCCCAAGCAGGAGACACATCCTTCCGTGTGGTGTGTCACGTTACTCATACGCAGCGTAATCAATTTTTATGCCTGTCGCTTACGTGAGCTGGCAGACAAATGATGCGGATGCATATCCAACGGATATGGAGACACGGAGAAAGTTTCAAAGGGTTGCGCGGCCCCCCCACCCTTAGCCTTCCTTAACAGGGCTGGTGTGAGAGTGTTTCTGCCACCCCTTCTCTGGGGGTTTATGGGGTGTACGTGGTTTTTTAATTTAAATCGTGTTTATTGTTATGTGTGGTAATGTGGTATGTGGCATGTGGCATGGGGCAATGTGTGTGGCGGTAAGGAAGGGTGCTGGGTGCTCTACCCTGTTGTGATCACGTTTGCAAATTTTATAATTTAATTAGTCTGGCTGGCAGTAGAAGGAAAAGGCATTTAAAATGCCTGGCAAGTCGCCTAATTTAATAATAATAAAAATGTTAAATCGTTGGGGAGAAAGGGCACGTTTCTTGGTTTGGTTTGGTTTGGTTCTGTTTTATTTCTGTTTAATTTTGATGAATGGCAATTTTCCTTTGCCTTAGAGAAGCAGCGCCATTTGCTTTCCAGATAAATTAACTCATTCTTCAGGGCTTCCGCTGCAAATGCGAATAATGCCTTCAATCTGTGTGAGTGTGTGTGAGTGTGTGTGTGTGCGCGGGGCACGTCTGACTGTCCAATTGCAATTACAACTTCCGCTATGAGTCACTTTGAACTCTGCCCTTCCCCAAACTCTTCTCTAATGGCGCTCATTAGTTACCCTTCGTCTTGGTCTCTGTATCGAGTCGCGTCTCTCTCAATGGTTCGTTCATCTGCCTCCATCCATTGTGTTTTTGCTCAGTCAGTCAGCTGTCTTTCTTGGCCCGCAGGCCTTCAATCTCCAACAGTCTCGGAATAGCCATAACCTGCCAGTGACTCTGCCAGTCACGTTGCATCATAAAAAATACCCAAACGCCGGCAAAATAGTTTAACCACAGAACAGCTCTGTTGGGGCTCCAGCCCAAGGGTTGACACAGGGTTCTAATGCATAAATATGCCCACTAGTGTTGGTACAGTGCAGCACACTGGGGGAAAAACACACACACAATTAGAAGGTGGTTTCAATATGTATTTTGGGATCTTTTAGAAGCTAGGAAAGAATTCTTTGGGAATATAAAAAAAGGTTACTGGGAATTTCGAAGCTAAAAATTAAAGCGATGGAAGTTCTGAAAAAGGATCACTTGAATGGAGAACTTGAACTTCTTATGTGGAAGATCCCTTGATCAAGGGATTGAATACATTTCTTTTCTTAGGAAAAAGATTGCTCTCCTACGTATCATTTAGCATTTTCGGAGCACCATTTCCTCATACCATTTACTGAATAATTCTATAGCTGAGAATATATTCCTTAATTTTTCCATATCTTCAGAGTTTTTCCACCAATTTTCGCATATTTTTCGGCGCAGTGTACGAGGGTCGAATCTGTTCAAAAGTTTTTCAAGCCCAGCTTAGACTTTTAGACCCTTTTGCACTCTGCTGTCTGCTGTCTGCTGGCCATGACTCATGTGCGACGATTGCAGCAGAGGTGAGTTGCAAGTGGCAAATGCAACGTCTTGCATATAAAACAGGGCAACAGTAGAGAACATAACAGAGGGAGAGAACAGTAGAGAACGGTAGAGAACGGCAGAGAACTTTAAAATGCAAGACACGAATGAGATATGCTCATAAAGGAGGGGGGGTCTTATGAGAGGGAACGAGGGAATGGGTGGGGGTATATCGGTATGGGAGAGTCACAATTGTGATGATAAATTATCCCGTCAAGCCCCAAAGCACCATGGACTAACCTCTCTCCTTTTCCTTCTCCCTCTCCCATTGCAGGCCCATGTGGTGACGGCGTTTGAGCAGTCGCTGACCAACATGACCAATCGCCTGCAGCAGCTGACGGCCACGTCGGAGCGCAAGGATGGAGAGCTAACGGACATGCGGCAGACCATTGAGCTGCTGAGGAAGCAGTCCATCCAGGCGGGTCTCACCACAGCGCATATGCAGAGCATGGGACAGAATCAGCATCAGCTGCAGTCACAGTCGCAGTCGCAGGCCGGCGACCAGAAGCCACCGCCAGGACCCGGTGGCAGTAGATCCACCAGCAATGGCAATGGTTTGGGATTGGGAATGGGAATGGTGCGGCAACAGAGCACCGACTCCATGTGCTCGTTGAATTCCATAAGCTCGGGCTGCTCGTCGGCGCAGGACAAAAACAAGGCCAACAAGAAGAAGGGATGGCTGCGCAGCAGCTTCACCAAGGCCTTCTCGCGCAATGCCAAGATCTCGAAGACTAGTCGCCATGTGGGACACCACCACCACCAGCACCAGCACCAGCACCACAATCATCAGGAGCACAGCAGCTCCGGGAAGGCAACGCTCCACAATGGTCATGGCGGCGAGCCATTGGGTCTCGCATCGTTGGCCACTCAACCGGCGCCGCCGTTGCCCAACAACAACAGCAAGCAGAGCAGTCCCGCCAAGACGCTCACGCTGATCGACAATGCCAAGCCCATCGATGCCATCGACCAGGACCAGGATCAGCAGGTGGTGGAGGACCTCAAGAAGCAGCTGCGCGAGAAGGATCTCGTGCTCACCGACATACGGCTGGAGGCTCTCAGCTCCGCCTCGCAGCTGGAGAGTCTCAAGGACATGATGAACAAGATGCGCTCCGAAATGATGTCCCTCAAGCAGAACAACGAGCGTCTGCAGAAGATGGTGACCACCCGCTCCTTGGCCGGCTCCGAGGTGAGCCTCGGACAGGCGATCAGCCCCAATGGATCGGTGGCCGGCATCTCTGAGGTCTCGCGCCGCTACTCGCTGGCCGATGGCAGTGCGCGACCGCCCATGGAGCTGCCGGGACGGCTCAGCGAGGAGTTGGAGGAGGAGTGCATGCCACCAGCACCGGCGCCAGAGCCGCCGCCACCGCCGGCACCCAACACCGCCGCTGTGGCGCCGCTCAGTCCCAGCACACACATCGATCTGACGCCTCCGCCACCGGCCTTGGAAGCGGCACCGCTGGCCAGTCCCGTGCACATGCCCAGCGCCGTCGAGGAGCTGCCCGATGTGTGCGACGGCAAGAAGATTGCCATCGCCTGCTACCTCGGACAGCCGGAGTCGTTTGCCAAGTACTGCGAGGAGCTGCTGGAGCTGGATGGCTTCTATGCCAACGGCTCGATCATCGCCAGTCACGAGGCCGATGCCCAGTCGCAGAACGAGCGGCAGGGCGAGCGGAGCTTCGCAGCGGCCAGCTCCAACGAGTTCATCATCGCCTGCACCTACATCTCGGGCAAGACGACCTGGCAGAATCTCGACTACATTGTGCGCAAGACCTTCAAGGACTATGTGGCCCGCATCGATCCGGGCACCAATCTGGGCCTGAACACCGACTCCATCACGTCGTACCATCTGGGCGAGGCGAAGCGCGGCCCGGAGATGGGTTTCCCCGAGCTTCTGCCCTGCGGCTACATTGTGGGCAGTGTCCGGACGCTGTACATCTGCCTGCAGGGCGTTGGGAGTCTGGCCTTTGACAGCCTCATTCCGCGCAGCATTGTGCACCGCTACATCAGTCTGCTCACGGAGCACAGGCGACTCATTCTGTGCGGTCCCAGCGGCACTGGCAAGTCCTATTTGGCGCGCCGCTTGGCCGAGTTTCTGGTGGCGCGTGCGGGCCGGGGAAATCCATCAGAGGCCATTGCCACGTTCAAGTGAGTCTTTAGCTCATAGCTCATATAATCGAATCTGCGACTAATCTCCTCCTAACTTTTCTGCTGCAGCGTGGACCACAAATCCTCGAAGGATCTGCGTCAGTATCTGGGCCACATTGCCGAGCAGGCGGCCATTGCGAATGGCGCTTCGGAGTTGCCTTCTGTGATCATTCTGGACAACTTGCACCATGCCTCCGCCCTGGGCGATGTCTTCTCCTGCCTGCTGAGCGCCGGACCGGCCAATAAGTTGCCCTGCATCATTGGCACCATGTCGCAGGCCACCTGCAACACGACCAATCTGCAGCTGCACCACAACTTCCGATGGGTAAGCTATTACTATATAACTTTACGCCCCCCCGAATGGCAACTAACTCCAATACCCTGTTGCAGGTCCTCACGGCTAATCACATGGAACCCGTCAAGGGCTTCCTTGGACGCTTCCTGCGACGGCGCCTATTCCAGCTGGAGCTGCAGACGCAGCATCCACAGCCAGAGCTGGCATCGGTGCTGGCCTGGCTGCCCTCTGTGTGGCAGCACATCAATCGGTTCCTGGAAGTGCACAGCTCCAGTGACGTGACCATTGGGCCTCGTCTATTCCTCTCCTGCCCGCTGGACCTGAAGGACTCGCAGGTGTGGTTCACCGACATTTGGAACTACCATCTGTCGCCCTACCTGGTCGAGGCGGTGCGCGAGGGAGTGCAGCTCTATGGACGACGGGGCGGCGCCTGGAACGATCCCTCTGCCTTCATCCGCAACTCTTATCCCTGGCCCTATGGGCCCGACTCAGTGCCACCGCTGCGACAGATCAATGCCGAGGATGTGGGCCTAGAAGGCGTGGCATTGACAAACGGCGAGAACCAGGATCCTTTGGTGGGTTTTTTTTTTGCCTTGGAATATCATTATTTGCAATACTAATCTCGGCTTTGTTTTCCACAGCTCAATATGCTGATGCGCCTGCAGGAGGCCGCCAACTACTCGGAGGCGCAGGATCAGGAGTCGGACTGCGCCAGTCTGGACTCCAATGTGACGCCGGACAGCTCTGCGGGCGCCGAGTAAACGTCTCCCCACTTCGTACATGCCAAATTGAACCGAAAATTGCCGAACCCCCGAACACGTTAGCTGTGGGCCCGCTGCTATTACCCCGTAATCCGCACAAATGAGATTTCTTGCACTACTTTCGCAGCCGAGTTCTTAAGCAGTTCCAAGAGGTTTCCATTTGCACCAACTCTCTAGCCTATAACTTCTCCTAGCTGTCCATCTGTCCATCCATTCCCACATCTAGAGTTAATTGTACTTTTTAGCGCACTTGTTAAAAATGCAAATTGTCCACCTCCAATCCTCACCAGGACCACATTTAGAATCACACATTCAACTCTAGTTATTTGGCCCCCAGCTGCGCTTCGATGTTCGAACCAACAACCCAAAATGAGAGAACAGAACTCCAACTAACATGAAATGTTAGACAATTGAGAAAATACATCCTTTTTGTACATAGAAAAACCAAAATCCCCTAGTCTTAAGCGACACAACTGTACGGCGGTATTGGCTTTTTATACCCTAATTCCCAAGCCCAATCGCAAGCCCCGGCACCTCCCCCGGCCCCGGCAGATCGTATGAGAATAATCGTAAACGTAAACTAATATCTAAACCTATTGTAAAATGTAGCTATAAGTTTTTGCTACTACCAATTTACAAGATGTGTGTGTATATTTGAAGGAAAAAGCTTTCACTTTAGTTTAATTATTTGCGTAATTATCATTAAATATTGTTACAAACATATTGCATATTTATAAAAAGAAATCCCTCGCCCCCCCGATCCCCCAATCCCCTGCCCCAATGCAGCAGCAGCAAGTACCATTTAAATATTTATTATGCCAAGAGCCCCCGCTTCAAAACAAGAAATAAGCGAACATAAATACGTAAAAGTGTCCACCCTGGGATAAATAGCTAAAAGAAGAACCACAAGTCCCCAAGCAGTTGAGAAACCCCAACACAAAGTACTATCCATACTAACAGTAAAACTATATGATACAATACAACAATTTATGTGTCTCTGTCTAATTTAAATGTGTGCATTTATGAGATATGACATCAAATCAAAATAAAATAAAATATAATATAAAAAAAAAGTTGGCGTTCATTTTATTGGGTAAAATTTTGTCACAACTCTGTGAAGGATATTTATCCGATCCAAGGAAGCCATTGCCTGCCTTCATCGCCCCAGAAATAACGGAGAAATGAAGATATATATATATGACTAGAGAAAATATCATTGATCCTTGGTCCTTTATAAGGACTCCATAATATCGAGGATTTCCTGCCGATCACGGGGACATGTACAACGTCCTGACCGGACGAGAAATGACGGAATTAGAGAGATTTAAACAACGCCAAAGCTAATTTCGCCTAATCGGTACATTTGAATTTCGCGCCTCATGATGTCTGACAAAAGCTTGCCAGTATGTACTAGCTAAGTTTCATATCGACCAGCCTTTGACCTGGTGTAAAAAAGAAAAACCAGCTGCCTGCTGAAGATTTCTGTTCACCTGGTACTCGGTCTGGAATTTGTCTAGTTTTCGGTCATTTGAGCATAACAATTTCAAAAGTTGTTGTTGTACAAAAATGTGTTGTTGTTGTTATTGTCAATTGTTGTACAAAAAAGTTAGTTCCAAAAGCGACCGTCGCAAATAATGGGGGCGCCACTGTGCAAATCAATTTGGTTTGTTCCTCAGTGGCGCCCCACGGTCAATGACGGCCACCGCTGGAACTAGCCTTGCTACGCTCAAATGGCCGAAAACCAGACATTTTTTAAACCGAGTACCAGGCGAACAGAAACCAGCAGCAGGCAGCTGGTTTTTCTTTTTTATATCAAGTCAAAAGCTGGCCGATACGAAACTGGCAGCACTTTATAGCGTTATTTAAAATGCGTATAACTCTGCTAATTCCTGTCCCTTCTGGCCATGCCACGCCTCGTCATGATCGGGAGAAAGTCCCCTACCGTTTGACATCAAGGACAATAAGGATAGTGCCTTGGAATCGCTATAAAGCCTTTAATCTTTCGCCTATTTTCGTTTGCTCAGGGCGGGCCACGCCCCCATGTGATGGGGGAAAAACTATAGACGATGGAAAGTTTGGATCCTAACGATCCTGGAAAAGTTGGTCTTGCGCCGAGCGGAGCTCATTTGGCCGAGATATAGCGTCCCAAAGTATTGGCTGCCCTAATTTTAAAATACTGGTTTTTTTTAAATCAAGCCACATCTCGGCCAAATTGGGGCAGATCTGGGCGTGGCATGTCTTTTTGTAATCAGGAGAGTCCTTTCCATCGAATGGCATCCGAAAAAAGGACATTCGGCAAATACTGGTTTTCGCAAAAACGATGATGGTTACATCATGATTTTCGCGAAAACCAGTATTCCTCGGATGTCCTTTTATTGGATGGGGATCGACAGTCTGGATCCTCAGGATCCTGAAAAAGTAGGTCCTTCAAGGATCTGACCCTTTTTGGACGAGATATAGCGTCAGAAAGAAAAAACCAGTATTTTTGTTGTGACGCTATATCTCGGCTATTAATGGACCGATTTGGTCGGGCCACATCTTTTTGTGATCAGGATATTCCCCCCGATCGTTTGCAATCAGTTTCGCATCAAGGACATCAAGGACTAATGATTCAATTATTTCAACTCCGCCATTTCACAACCGGTCCAGAACTGACGCATGTCCTCGTGAGCGGAAGGGTCTCCTGTATCCTTTGAATCTTTCAAGGACCTCAGGGCTGGAAGGATACGCCCTTTACACGCAGTTTCATTATATATTGGCCGAATAGACCAGCCTAAAAGCATGCCATACTTTTTAATAAAGCCAACCCCCAAAAGTATGCAGTAGTATTTTAATATATTTGTTTTTCTCGTCCCAAATGGGCGAGCCACGCCTTCTCGTGATCGCGAGAATTCCCCAGAGCGATCATTAAAAAGAAGTATAACGTTTATTATTTTAGTTTATTCAAACAAATAATTCAAATGGTCATTAGGTTTACTTGAGTGTGTGGACCCTATAGGGGTCACGAGGGGACCAAAATCTGTTCTCTTCTGAAGACGAGACGGCTGCAGGTGCGTCAGATGTACGGTCTGCTTGAGCACACATGGCTGATACATATACATCTGATGGAGAAAAGAAAAATCCGAAAAAATGTAATAGATTTTGCAATAAAAGTTCTAATTAATCATAAATTGTGAACTTTATATTTAATTTAAAAGACACCGCAAACTTTATAGCTAAATTGAAAAATAGCTAAATCTGATGGTAAAAGTAGCTAGCTGAAATATCGCGCCCAATTAAAATACTTTACAGCACTAATCTGCTGTATCGATACTATGGAATATCGATATATACTAATGTTTTAAGCCAAATATATGGTAAATATATTTATTTTTATTGCTAGGGGCTTCCATTAGACTGCAACTAAAATGTATACTTAAATACTGCGATAGCATGTGAAAGCAGAGTCTCGATAAATATGTGCTTGGTTTTTGGCTGGTTCCCAACACTACCCTACAATCGATTGCTATTATTCGATTACTCATTTTTGCGCAGCGAGTTAGGTAAAAGAAAAAAGTTGTTTAAATTCGAAAATTGTGAAAAACCAGTGAGCACAAGAGCCTGCCATAATATAAAAGGAAAAGCCTGGGACATGCCCAAGCTAGACAGCAACGTAGGCGGCCTGTTTGTGGCCAGGGCGACAGAAGAGATGTTGGCCGCTGGCCGATTACACAACAGCGCAGCGCAGCTGTGAAAAATGGGAGAATTATGCGAAGAAGGCCCGACTGGCAGCACAAACTATGGCTTGGCAGATGGCAAAGGGGTGTACGCCGGGAACGCCTTTGATGGTCGTGCGACTATGCTAATACAGTGATTTATATATCACTCAGTGCTGTGCTCCAAGTGTTACATAACCTAGTGCCCCGGTGCATGTGTCATGTACTCACCCGCTCTCTCTCTCTCTCTCTCTAACTCCAATTGCAGCAACTGCAATAGAATGGCTCTCAGACTAATCAACAGCGCTGTGTTCCGCCAGCTGGTCGCCCAGTTGCCCCGCAACGCCCAGGTGGGCAGCGTTGCCTCCGTCCACACCCTGGACAAAATTGGCAAGCGCGAGGTTGTTGGCTACGGCTGGAACGGCACCGCCTGCTACGCCGACCGTGTGGACTACCCCATGCCGGCTGTGCGCTTCCGCGAGCCCAACAACGAGATCAACGCTCTGCGCGCCAAGGAGCAGGGTGACTGGAAGAAGCTGAGCCCCCAGGAGATCAAGGCCCTGTATCGCGCCAGCTTCTGCCAGACGATTGTCGAGGTCCAGGCCGGCTCTGGCGAATGGAAGCAGCACTTGGGCGTTAGCCTGCTCTTCTGCGCCGGTGCCATCTGGATTGCCATCCTGATGAATCTGTTCGGTGAGCCATTACATCCTCTGAAATAATCAAACATGGAAGAAAATAGAGTTAAAACATTTACTTTTAGTGTACGACGAGCTGCCAATTACCTTCGATGATGAGCACCAGAAGGCCCAGCTGAAGCGTATCATTGATCTGGAGATGAACCCGGTGACCGGTCTGACCTCCAACTGGGACTACGAGAAGAAGCAATGGAAGAACTAAGCACTAGCATAGGCCAGATTCCAGATAGGGCTCGCCCCTATCTCCTGTGTGTGTGTGAGGCAGTAATTAAGCAAACGTTCGATGTCGATGTTTATTAAGTGGAACCAAACCCCAAGAAATTAACAATTAAAGTTGCGGCCGCTGCTGGCTAAACTGACACACTCCAGCGTCCGGAATGGAATCTGATGATTGGGATTTGGATTGGGATTGGGGAGATCCCATCAATCCTTGTAATGCTCATAGATAGTATCTTTGCATATGATATGCAGCAGCATAAGCTTCTTCTCTATGTACTCCTTGAACTTTGTTACCTCTGCTGCGGGCAGTACACCGCCTCCGCCGGGGCTCACCATACCCCGGTGCTGGCTCCAGCACACCTCCGCAATGTTGGGATAATTACTCTTAATCAATTGGATCAAACCCTTTGGGCCGTACTTTTGCAGCTCCTCGGGCGAGAATACCTGCTCGAAGGAAATTTCGGCACAGGCAACGCCGAGCATCATGGCAGCACACAGAAGCCAGCATAGAGTAGACGTAGACGTGGACATCTTTCAGTGTTTGCAGTGGATAGTCGTTTAATGCTGGAAATAAAGTCCATAGTACATACAGCCCAAACGATTTGCTATGCCTGCTTGTTTAACCGTTTAATTTGGCTTCGCATGCTGCGGCCAATTGCTTTGATATTTTCTCCATCTTAGCTAGCAGCTGGGCCTTCGCCTCTGCCTTCAAACTGCTCGTGTGGCGGCGGCAGATCTCGGCCAGCGATGGAAAGTGCTTCAGTAGCCACTTTCCCTGTTTGTCTTGGTCACCCTTGGGCAATATTTCGACCGCAAACGCAACGCCAGCAATGGCCACTGCCACCACTAAAAGCAACTGCCAGGCGACAAAACGTTAAGACTGTGCAGAGACAGAGCCAAACAAAAAAAAAAAACACTCACCACCTGGACGAAACGATTCATTTGAAATTCGAGCAGCTTCTGTTCTGCGAGGCTTTGCTTTCGCTCAACTCTTTACTGGCTATTGAATTGAATATTTGCACGCTTTACAGATCAATCGAATTCGAATTGGAATTAGTGACGCCTGCGACGGTGGCGGCGACTCTGATGACGCGGTGACCTTCGGTGTGGTATTCGTCGCGCATCTAGAACATTCTTTGCCATCTGCTCGACTTCGAATAGAAACTTGATAGTATCCTTTTTTCCCGGCATCGGTGCAGCGGCACTGCCAAGTTCAAAGGGCATTTTAATCGGGAGAGAGGGCGACTTGAATTGTATTTTCTTGACTTACAGCTGCTTTTTCCATTCCTCCACCTTGCTGATCCTGGCCGCGGTCTCCAACTTTTCCAGTTCGATTCGATTCTGCTGCTCAGCTGCAACGCCAGTCAAGACCGCTTCCGTAGTGCCATAGACATGGTCATAGGGCGGCTCAGTTGGGGGCTCATCGGGTCTATCGTCCATTGCATAACTGAAACGGGCACAGAAATGATTTAAGTATCAAAGCAGCTCCATGGGTGGAGGCTTTACTTACTGATTGTACCAATCGAAGGCCTTGTACGGCGGTCTGTGCATGTTGTGTGGCCGCCCGTGATGCGGTCTATCGTTGCGCTCATGAATCCGCGGGTCCTTCTCCGGGCCATGTGCGTCGACACCGCACGTATAGATATGGATGCAAATGCAGAATATGAACAACAAAAACATCATGAATATGGCACTAGTCCACTCCGATGCTGGCCATCACTGGATGCGATCTTCCCCATTCATTTCCTTGGGCTGAAACATTTTGGATTAGTTAGCAGATCAATTAGTGAAACTAATTAGCAATTTTAATGCTTAATAGCTGAGGTCTGTGAGTGGTTGAGTGGGGAGTTCTGTTAGCTGCAGGGCATGGTGCTATAATTTGCAGCTACCAGTACAACCCCCGTGCGCTCGCCTCATCTATTTAATTCAATAGTAAGATGAATGATGCCTCTGCGCGCATTAAACATTCAGAAAGTAAGCAAGGTTTCCGCTTGTTCCGCTCTCCATTGTTTTCAAAGCTCGCATACATTTATTTTTATTAATTGTATAGTAAATTCGAAGTGATTCTAAATATTGCATGTGGCGGCAACCTTCTCGAATTATCCTTGACTATTGGGTTGATTGTTTTTTTGATGAGCCTACTGACGTGGCGAATGCCGCCAGCGTGCCTCTTTATTGATGTTGTGGAAGCCATCGTGGGCGCGTGCGTGCCGAAACTTGCCCCCAGCCACCGTCTGTAGGCACAGGAAGAGAGCAATCTACAATATGGGGGGGAATGGAATTGTATGCCACATCTACATAGGGTAAGGAATCCTTACCCAGCAAAAGAAACACAGCCGCATAATGATCGTCAAAGCTATAGCTGGAGGCATCATCTGAGCAAACAAAACATTGGCATTTCGGCATCGGGTGTTGTGGTTGTACGTAACATTTGGCATTAGTTGCGGCAGTAGCCGAAACAAATTAATTGTTTTGCTTACAAGTTTTTGTTGTACGTAACATTTGGCATTAGTTGCGGCTATAAGCGAAACAAATTAATTGTTTTGCTTACAAGAGTTTGTGTATTTTCAAGGTCGGTAAGTGGGAGTTTTGGATGCAGTAAAAATCATTTACATTTCTTAGATATTTTAGGATTATTATGCATTAATAATTCTGTCGAATAGAACTAGAACTAGATAGACACATTGATAGTTTTCCCATTGTTTTCTATGCATTTATTGGTTAGTAAATGTTCCTATTCTGCAGATCTCTGACTCTCTGACCTGCTCTAATTCTATTATGCAGCAGCAGTAGTAGCAGCAGAGCCAGCATCAGCTGTAGTAGCAGCAGAGCCAGCATCAGCTGTAGTAGCAGCAGTAGCTGCATCATCATTACCAGCTGCAGTTGTTCCACCATCATCATTACCGGCAGCAGCACCCTCTTTAGTGGTCTCAGGATATCCATCCTTTCTCAGTTGGTACACCATTCTCGCCCAAAGATCCGCAATCATTTTCTGTTGCTTGGCAGTATTTTCCTTCTTGTCCTTCGCTGCTTGGGCCAAAGCCTCAGCTCGGGAATCATGGTCATGGCCCTCCACTCGTAGGCACAGGAAGAGCGAAATCTATAGGGGAATTGAGTGAATATTTGGAGATATTTATTTATCGAACGGTGGGTGGGGCACTGCTTACCCCACAATAAAAGTAGCACAACCGCATGATGTTGCCAACAGCAATCGTCTACGCATCCAGACCGATGTTAGCTGTCACATTTCCATAGCTCCATTAGTTGTGGAACAAATGAAACTAATACAATTAGTATATTGTGTAAAAGTTTAACTCCTTTTGGGGTGTTGTTTTTGTCAAGGTTTCTAGCTAGAACTTTAAATTTCCTGCAAACGGAATTAGTTGCAGAATATGCTACTATTTTTATTTGGTGCTGATTTAGTTAGGCATCTATTAGAGCTCGCTTACATTCGCTCTCTGCCTGCATTTATTGTACGTATTGTCAATGATCTTTTTCTACAAATTGTATGCGGATCGAATACCTAGGATGCAGCAGCAGTAGTCTCAACGGCAGGTGCAGGTGCATCAGCAGCAGTTGTCATAGCACTTTCTTTAGTAGCTCTAGTCTCACGTGTAGTAGATTCAAGTTTCGAGATTTGATAGCTATGTCTGTTCCAGAGGTCGACTATTGCTTCACTATGTTTTCTATTCCTTTCTTCTGCTGCTTTTTTTTCGGCCTTTTCGATCGCAACGCCAATCATCTATATAATGGCAAGTGGAGATGCGTTTCTTACGATTCTTTGGATCTCTTTCCATTTGTTCAAAGTTCAGGCTTACCAAAAAAAAGAACCACAAAGGCATGATGTTGATTCCACCACAATCGTCTACGAGTGTGTGAAAACTCAATCATATTTTTTTTTACGTTTAGTTTCTACGTCTCAGCAAATTGTATTTAATTTCTGCTCAATTTAATTTGGCATGTCACGGCACCCGACCGTGGGAGCTCTTGTGGGGGAGTGTTGCTGATTCGGATTAAATATAATGTGTTTGCTGTATGAATATGGATGCAGAGTGGCTGCCGAATGGATCATTGGGTGTTGTGGCTTATTCCTCTTCGATTTTGTGATTTAAACATTTATTAAAGAAAGGTTGAAGACGAATTTCGAAGCAAAAAAAGGACATTAGGGGCATCAGGCCGTCATTATGTCATTTCCATAGCTCGCAAAAAACGGTCAACACTTTCGGGGTGTCTGCATTCCTTTTTAGTGCTAAAGCTTAACTCTGTTAACTAAAAAATGTACCTATGTATATTCATATGTACCTACACAATAATATGCACGATCGATTTTCCAGATATTATTGGGGCATAAACACGAATTCAACTAAAAACTAAAAATTTCGCAGACACTTGTCTTGTTCTGATCATGCACAGACACTTTTTCTGCGAGCGCTTGATCAAATGTGCCTCTTTAAGTTGTTATTGTGAGACAGGAGCGTGTCTAGGCTCAACCAGAAGACACGAAACAGATAGCATAAGCCATGATGAAATTATATATAATTTATATTATTCTTATATATTTATATCTTTATATACTTTATATAAAGACTCCAATAATTCGTATGCGACGCCAATTTTCTCATACAAATTATAAGCCGTGTACGTTTGCACATCGTACACGTTGTGTAGCACCTGGTGGAAAATGAGTATAAAATTATAAATTTATTGGTTATATTTGGTAGTCTCTTGAGGCAAAAATGACAGCTTCCGAATTGGCCTTGTTGCCGTCGCTGATGACAGCCATGATGTTTGGCCACACGTGCGGCATCTTTCATTTAATAAAGTCCAAAACTTTCATATCCGATCCGATTTGAACACATTATGAAACTTTACTTACCACCGTCATGGATAAAAGTCTTGTACCTTGGGCATACCGTTCACAGCTTGGGCAGCAATGTCCAGCTCTTTCCACTTGGGGAAACCACCCATTTCCTTTAAATATGGACATTTAAATGAGAATTAATATTTAATTAACTATTAATTCATTAATTAATTCCAGCAGGTGCCACTCATCCATAATCAAATTGAAGGGCTCCTTGAAACTTCGAATGGCCTCGAAATCTTCCGCGAAGCATCTTCCGATGTGGTTCCTGGTCGCCTTTCGGACTCCACAAAATCAACTGCCTCTTTGATTTATGCTTCCCTTCCTGCAAACCGCAAATATGATAGGAATAAATTTGTAAGCTCCATTTTCAAGATTTTTGTTTATTGCGAAAAATTTAATATGCTACCAGCACAGCTGATTGTGTGATGTAAATCATTTAATTAGATGCTTACGTTTTGATCATTAGTTCAAGATCTTGATTAGCGGAGGATATTCAAAAATACTGGGATAGCGCTGCCAGATCGCTATGACCGCTGGCGCCAACGAAGTTATCGACTTGAAAACAGGGCATGCCGTACAAGTTTTCTGTCGGCCTTTTGATTTTTACCACAAACATGAACAACGAGGAAGTAATCAAATTATATGGAGAAAGCAGTGCCGGTCGCACTGTTATAATATTGAATTTATGTTTATTTAGTCAGCTTATTTAGTTAGTTATTTAGAAGACAGACCATGCCGCCAGTGGGAAGCTGAGGGAGCAGAAGTATTGATAGTGCTGTAGGAGGACTAGGCTGCCTAAATAAGGCGTCTCCCCTCAGCTGTCCAGCGACAGCCGCGTCGCACTTCCCAATAGCTCTCGCGCACGATTGCAAGGAGTTGAGAAATCAGGATCTATACCAGCTCTACAGCCAGCCGCTCTCTTGTATGCATACCGTCCAATAAAAATGAGAAGAAACGTGTGAGTCGCTTCTGCGGACGCGACTCAACTTATACCCGTACTCAGTCAGCTTTGAGCTTATGATTTCTTAGAATTTTAGAATATAAAAAATGTTTAATTTTACATTGTTTTGCTACATCTGTTATCTACATCTACTATGTATATTATACATCTAACATGTAGATTATACATGTACCATTTAGATTAAACATCTCCTCCGCTAGAGGGCGCTCACGCACTGAACGCGGCAGAGTGTGCGAGCGAGAAAGAGAATGAGTAGCGGGTCTCTGGCTGGATGAGGCATTTCTTCATTCTGGCTATAATTATGATCCGATCTGATTCAGATTCGGCTATCTGGTAGATATGGTCATTCTCTACGATACTGCGTTTTTTGAGAGGAAAAGCCGCTTCAACGCGAATCTCTGCATCGCTACGCAAGTGAAACCGTGCGGGACGGGAGGAGGAAGCAGTGGCTCCTAAAACGAACAAAAAAATCAGCATCTTAAAATCATCAGATTGGGGAAAAATTAAATTTGGCTCGGGGAAAATATCACGAAAATATATAGATATATAAAAGTGTTCTAAGTGTCTCAACTACCTTCCGACTATTCTTTTTCTTCCGCCTCTCTCTAGTTTCGTTTGTATTTTTTTTCAGTTTGTTTAGTGTTATTTAATTACAGTGACCAAATCGGAAGCGCTTCGTCGATGGAGGTGTATATTGTGAGTAATTTTTGTTGCGTTTAATTATACCCGTACTCAAAAAGAGTTAAGGGGTATTATTATATTTGTGGTAAAAGTGGATGTGTGTAACGCAGAGAAGGAATCGTTTCCGATCCTTTAAAGTATATATATTCTTGATCAGCATCAGACTATAAGAGCTAGAGCAACCAATTTTTTTCCCAGACTCACTGCTACAAGTGTATTTTAAAATTTCGCCCCCGCCCCCTTGCGCTTCCACAAAGGACGGGTATAAAAGTAGAGTCGCGTCCAAAGATGCGACTCACTCGTTCCTTCTCCTTTTTATTAGTAGCCACATTTTTTTTGCTGGAGGCCAAGGCTCGAAAGAGAGCAAGAAAAGAGCATCACATCTCTGTCGCGTGCACACACCCACAAGTGAAGGGTATGAAAATATCATATATGATATGCATATGCAATTATGAATTTGTTTGGAAAATGTTTTAAAAAACATCTTGCCTACACATAGGTTTTCCATTACACAATGTACGCGTTTATTAAATAAGAAATAACTGGCATATCGCACCCTCTTCTTTTATAATTTATAATTGTAGAATTTTAGCCCCTGTGTCTAATTTACAGCCTCCGAGCCCAGCCCATCCCATCCCATTCCATGCTATTCCATTCACTACTGGAGCATATCTTTACTGTGATGCCCGCTATTTGTCGTGAATCGATCGTTCCAGTGCGCCCAATACTGCTCCGTCGTCAGACTGTGGAAGCCATCGTGAGCCTTCACGTGCCGAGAGCCGGGCTTGTGGCCGGCTCCCGGACTCACAAACGGATCACCGCCATTCTCGTCAATCGGCATGTAGGTCATCAGATCAATTAGGCCAGTGGTGGTGGAGGGTTCAGGGGGTGGAGTAGGATTCGTTCCGGGCGTCAGGTCATTGAAGTAAACGGTTGAGGTCCTTGGCGAATCAAGACCATATGCCGCATCGTCATTTGAGTCGTCTGTGTCGTCTGTGTCGTCTGTGTCGTCTGTGTCGTCTTTGTCGTCTGTGTCGTCTGTGTCGTCTGGCTTGGCCTCTGTTCCACCGTCTGCTTCTGCCTGTGGCTTGGATTCTGTGGCACTGACTGCTCCTGGCTCTGGTTTGGACTCTGTTCCACCGTCTGCACCTGGCTGTGGCTTGGATTCTGTTCCATCGTCTGCTCCTGACTGGGGCTTGGACTCTGTGCCAGCGTCTGCTCCTGGCTCTGGCTTGGACTCTTTTCCAGCGTCTGTTCCTGGCTGTGGCTTGGATTCTGTTCCACCGTCTGCACCTGGCTGTGGCTTGGATTCTGTGGCACCGTCCGCTCCTGGCTCTGGCTTGGACTCAGTTCCACCGTCTGCTCCTGGCTGTGGCTTTGATTCTGTTCCACCGTCCGCTCCTGGCTGTGGCTTTGATTCTGTTCCACCGTCCGCTCCTGGCTCTGGCTTGGACTCTGTGCCACCGTCTGCCCCTGGCTCTGGCTTGGACTCAGTTCCACCGTCTGCTCCTGGCTCTGGTTTGGATTCTGTTCCACCGTCTGCCCCTGGCATGGATTCTGTTCCACCGTCTGCCCCTGGCTCTGGCTTGGACTCTGAACCACCGGCTGCCCCTGGCTTGGACTCTGTTCCACCGTCTGCTTCTGCCTGTGGCTTGGACTCTGTTCCACCGTCTGCTCCTGGCTCTGGCTTGGACTCTGTGCCAGCGTCTGTTCCTGGCTCTGGCTTGGACTCTTTTCCAGCGTCTGTTCCTGGCTCTGCCTTGGACTCTTTTCCAGCGTCTGTTTCTGGCTGTGGCTTGGATTCTGTGGCACCGTCCGCTCCTGGCTCTGGCTTGGACTCAGTTCCAGCGTCTGCTCCTGGCTGTGGCTTGGACTCTGACCCACCATCCGCTCCTGGCTCTGGCTTGGACTCTGTTCCAGCGTCTGCTTCCAGCTTGGAACCTGCATCGTTTGGCCCGTTAGCATCTTTATTGTCCGCTATCTCTAGGTCCTTCTCGGCTCCCATTGTGGTTGTGGCTGTGGCATACCCGATTTTGATAGAATTTATATTAATATTTTTTATTCGTTTGGAGGCTGTTGTACCTTCTCCAGTCGCAACTCCATCCCCTACGGTTGTCGCAGTTATTGCTTCGTCTCCTGCTGCAGGATCTGCTGCTGGATCTGCTGCTGGATCTGCTGCTGCTTCTTCACCCTCTTGTGCTTGTATGGCCGCCAGGTGCACCAGCAACAGCAAAAGTATTCCCATCTGCAACGAAATCAACCATTTCCAGTGCACAGATCCTTTCGAACCCAATCTAACCCTCGCCCTACCACTACCCACCCGGCTTACCGTTTTGTGTAACGTCATGTCAAACGTCAGGCGTTGCGTTGCATTCGATGGAACAAGCCGCAAGCCGCTGGGCAAAGCCACCTTTATAGGCTCGCTACAGATGCAGCTGAAATTGATTAGAGACTTCGCCCTATCGCCCTATCGCCCTATCGCTCCCCATGCTCCATTTGAAATCGATTATAAAAAGTGCCGTTCGGTTCTGTTTGATTTTAACGAGCGACGCGAATGACGGGTGCTGGCCACGGGGCATGGGGAATCGCCCGAAAGACGCGCACAAAACGCGTGCAACCGCACACACCTGATGGATTTTTGTTGCCTATGGCCGGGTTTTTCGATTCATGAGTCTCTCTGTCTTGCCATTCCGAGTGTGTGAATGTGAGTGCTTGATTCTGGGTGTTTGAGTGTGTGAATGAGTAACCCAAGTGATGATCAGTACTCGTATTGATTCCATTTCTCTGTAATTTCCATAATGCCATAATCGTGGGCGAATGCTGCTGCTGCTGCTGCTGCTGCTGCTGGTGGGGGCTATAAAAGCCACAAGCCGCTGTGATTCCAGCAAACAGTAGAGATTGAGAACCAGCCCGAGATGTTCATTAAGCTCTTGCTACTTAGCCAGGTAAGACGAGCAGAGAACAGCCCAACATACTGGCCAGAACATTCCACTAACTGGCTCTCTCTCTCCCTTGCTCTCCGTTGCTCCCTCCTCTTGCAGCTTCTGGCCCTCTGCTGTGCGCAGTTGAGTCTGGATGAAGCAAAGGCAGCCATCGATGCCTCAGTGTACAGCGATGAGGAGACACTGGACGACGTTCATCCGTACGATCCACACCACCACAAGGCTCCTCCACATCATGATCCACATCATGCCCCAAAGGTGGAGACTACCACCACCCCAGTGCCCGAGACGACGACAGTGCAGCCGCAGCTTGTGCCGGAGAAGGATGCCACTGCCGCACCGGAGGTGGGGCTGCAGCAACTAGACGATGGACTGGGCCAACAGAATGATGGCTCCGCCGTGGCAGTGTCGACAACGACGCCCGAACCAGAGCCAGAGACGACAATTCCAACAACTACAACAACTACGACAACGACAACAACAACAACAACGCCCAAGCCAAAGCCAAAGAAACATGAGCCGCAACCTTATCATCCTCTAGAGCACTATCCCCATCCCCATCCGTATCCCCATCCGTATCCCCATCCGTATCCTGGACTTGTGTTCGGCCCAAGGCCAGCGGCCGGTTCGGAGGAGTCGTCTCCTGCTTCTGCTGCCAATCCTGCCAAGAAAACCAAAGAAGGCAGCCAGCCAGAAACAGCAGAGCCCACTGCCTATCCCTCGTACCCCGCGTATCCGCCCTTCCGGCCACCCTACTCGCCCTACCAACCGCCCACATTCCATCGGCCAGGAGCTTATCCTAGTTTCCCTGGCTTTGGACCCGCGCCGGGCTATGGATTCCGCCACGAGCACCATCACACGGAAGGCGGCGATGACAAGGATGCCTCCTCCGATGAGCAGCCGTTGGAAAAGGGCAAGGACAAGGACAAGGACAAGTCCGATGATGAGCCCGAGGATGTGCCACTTAGGCCGCCGGGCTATGGCTATCCACAGCTTTACATTGTGCCACGACGCCCCGTCGTGTACCCCAGTCCGGGCCGTGGCTATGGCTCCCCCTACGGCGGATATGGACGCTACTAGAAACGCCCCCCACTGCCCCCTGCCCACACCACTCTTAGTTGTAAAAATGTAAACACTCAGATCTTAAATATATACACTCGTAATTACGTATTTTGTACGCTCTAAAAGCGCTTCTATTGCATTTATTGATTTCCCTGTCGTCTATGGCTGGCCTGGCTTTTCCCCGCCTTCCTGTTCGTGTTCGTTCTGATAACCCCTTGGCATTGATTTGATTCTCTCACCTTGCCGTGTGGGTTTCCAGTCAAACGAGTTGTTGTCGGATGCTCGCATCGCTTCTCGGATTTAATTGCCAGTGCATTCCGCAGTAGCCACTCACAGTTCCATCGACCATCGCCAGCTAGAGACACGAAAATGTTGCTGCCTTGCGTGCTGCTGCTGCTGCTGCTGCCGATCATTGGCCAGGGGGTGAGTGGCGCACAGAAATGGAAATTATAGAAATATATACCAAATTCTCATCTTAATCTTGCAATCTTCTAGCTTAGCCACACTTTGCCGCAGCAGAAGCTACGAATTAAACGCGACACGAGAGATTTACCCACAGATCTGTTCAAGCCAGTTGGAGGCGGATCCCAATCGATGCCCAAGGCAGGACAAAATGGTACGGCCATTGTAGAAGAGCCCACAGATAGTGTGGAATTCCTGGAGGTAAGAGAAACCCATAAACATTCCACATAAAACCCCCCAAATAAATCTCTTCTTTTTGATTTTTCTTTTCTCAGAAAGTAGATGGACAGGTTGAAGCTGTCACAGAATCGGAGGAAACTGGCAGTAATCAACCTTGGCCCAACTATCCACCAAACTCTGTCTTTCGCAATAATTTCCCATCGGTATGTTCGATGAATATTTTGACCTAATTTCACCTCCCCGCTAATCATTGAACTCCTCTTTGGCAGCCACCATCATCCGTTTTCGATGGGAGAAACAATGGGGGCGGGCCAGTATTCTTTAGCCACAATCGTGCGCCCATTGCCAATGGGAATAACTTTCCAACGGGTCCTTTTTATCAAAGTCCCAACCCGTTTCCCCCATTGAGTGGCACATTCCAAGGAGGCTCGGCAGCACCCAGAAGTTCCTCCATTTCTGGCAGCCCTCGTCGCAGACCCTCTGCTGATTCAGTTTTCCAGGATCCCGATGAAAGTAGGGATGAATTCCTTGAACGTATGCAGAGAACTTTTCCATCTGCAAGCTCCACGAATCCCGTCTTTTATGGTGGCAGTCCCAATTCTGTATGTATTGCTTTTTACGATACTATTTCTAGCTTTCTTTTTACCATATAAAAATGATCACAACTTTTGCAGATACCCTATCCCTCTCCCTCTAGGGGTGGTAGTTCGATGACTCCATTCTTTTCTGGCCCCATTGGTCCCACTGGCCCCATTGGCAGTTCGTCGAGCAGTTTTCAGCGCTCGTCGCATTTTAGCTTCAGCTCCGATGGCAATGGACCACCGCAGATCGAGCAAAGTGTGTACGACTCGAGGATGCCAAGATTTGATACTTCCTCTTCATCCATGAGATATTTTTAGTTTGAAAAATAAAATACAATTTCGCATGGAATGCATTTTTGTATGAAAATCAATGGCGTTGTTTTCCCCCCCTTTAATATGTTTTCTGTTGTTATCTCTCTGAGATTTTTTCAGTCTCATCCAAACTAGCTGCAATCAAAGTGCAATCTCTTACTCTCTCCCTCTTACTCAGGAATTATTGGCGATTGAATTCCATGGCTAGATTACGAGGCAATAAATTAAGGATTGCATTGGCCTGAGCCTCAAAGACAAGTCTTTTAATCCCAACCGATTCAAATAAACGAGTATTTCATTGCATATTTCTTTGTTTATCGTCCTCAACACAGCTGATGAGACCACCTTATATATGTAGTTGCATCATGGTCTCGTCAGCTGTGTTGAGGACGATAAACAGTTTCAGCTAGCTTTCGCTATCTCTCGGCTCTCAGAGAGAGACAAGCGCTAGAAAGAGATAGCAAACGTTTTACGTTCGCACTCTTCGTTTGCTTTTGTGTCCGCTGACAGGCGAGAAAGTTTGTTCGCTAATAAATAATAATAAATAAATAATAATAAATAATAAAACAAAACAAAAAACAAGAACTAAATAACAATTATAATTATAATAATTTATTTAATTTTATTTAATTCAAATATACACAAGTACATATGTACATATGTGAATACATATTAAATAAATAAAGACTTTCATTGTTTTCTGTTTACGAGTCATTCGCCAACAAGAAACTACACAACCTCTTTCGAGGATCCTCAATAACTCTCCGGCCGACTCTCTTTGAGCTGCATTTAGTTGTATAAGATTGCGATGTCTTTTAAACGATTTATACAACGCTTTGATACTTCGTTCCTTGGCATAAGCATCCGCCGACGGATCATTGTAGTCGTCCAGCTTTTGACGTGCAGTGGGAATCGATTTTCGGCCAAAGAAGGACACGAAAAGCACACAAGCAGGACGACAGCCACAAGGCAGCTGAAGCGATGGATTAAAAAGGGATTCTTCGAAGGAATGATAAGAATCCATTTGGAATAATCACCTTAAACGAACTGTAGAGCCAGCCATGGCTTGGCTTGGTGCTTGAAAGTCCAACTACGATTTGCTTGCAAATGAAACCCCAATTGATAGGCAGATTCTTATCAACATTATGAGTTCGATTTCAGTTTTCTCGAGCTAAGCAGGTCGAAAGGCTAGAGATTCGCAGATCAAGATTTTTTTACTCCAGGAAACATTAAGAATTTTAGGAACAATTTTTTAATTTTTGACGCATAGCAGGTCGAAAGACTTGAGATTTTGGGAGCTTTCTTTCCGAAGAAAACATTAAGTATTTTTAAACAATTGATTGGTTTATTGATCAAGTTAATTATTGTATATTTCACGCGAAATTTTTATTATAACATTATTTTATTTATTTCAATTAATTCAATTCAAATTATAAGTATATCAAATAATTTATGTAATTTGGTTCTTGGTTCCCTCAGTTCAAGTTTAAATAAGTTTTAGTAATTGGTTTTTGAGGGTATTAAAAATATATATATATTTATTACAGTAATATTTCTAAGAGAATACAAATAATTATAGAACTCGGCTCTGTATAATTTGTATATATGTATGTATTTTAAATACATACATACGCTCGCTCTATAACTCAATCTGAAATATATAATCACTATTCAAAAGCACTATATGTAATTATAGAATATATATTGATATTAATTCTGTACATATTTAGTCAATTAATATTGTTAAAGATTGAATTCTGTTCTGTCTATAGATCGCGCCATGATTTTTTATATATTTGAAATAAGTTCTGTGTGTTTCTCTCGGCCTAAAATATATAATCACTATCCAGCAGCATCGTTAGCTTATCAATTGTATCCTTTTCGTTTTTAAATTGAACAAACCAATCGAGAAATTCTGTTCTCCTTTGGAGTTTGCTCGGCGACATGCCACTGATGTAGGACTCCACCTGCACCTCGATTCGCTTGAGTGCCGTGTCAAATCTGTCGAGCAGAGTGCTCTCGAAGTCATCGATGCCATGCTCTTGCAGCAGTCGCATGACCATTCGATCAGCCTCCGAGGCCAGTTCCGCAGAGTCCTTCAGCTCGAAGATGTCCGACAGATAATCGAGATCGGTGGCCAATAGCTCCAGCTGCACCGAGTCATCCATGTCGATCTCCTTCACGAGATCCACGAATTCCCCAAATGCCTCCAAGATCGGGCTCTGACTGTTTGGTGGCATAAACAGCTCCGCATCGTCAATCACACGCTGCAGCAGCCGGGCGGTCTCCAGGAACGAAGTCTCCACAATGGAAATAATCTCGTTGGTCATGTAGTATGCCAGCTGAGAGCTGCTCGTGATGGGTGCACCGCTCTAAACGGGTGAGTGGAGGCATGCAACATTTGACACTGCACAAAAAAGAAGAAGAACCCAAGAGGATATGTTCTTACCGCAAATTGCAGTGCTGCTAGGACTGTGAGGAGGCGCCACATTCTGATGACTGAAACCTGAGAATGACTTCAATATTATGACCAACTCCACTGCGTGCGAGCCTCCTTTTATAAGCCACCCAACTTGATGTGTGATGTAATCAGCCATTTGGAAAGTGAACACAAAAAAACACACACAGTACCGCCCCGTTAATCATCGTGGGATCTACAGTAACAGCAGCAGCAGTAGTCTGTAATCATCAGTCCTCAGACATTGCCTGGCGTGATAAGAACGTTCAAATTCTCAATACAGACCCGATAGAATTCCGAGAGAATGCTGCTGCCCATTGGCATACTCGTCATTGTATTTGCATTACAGGTAGTGACTCTCCTCCCGCTTCAGTCGTAAAAACCCTTCATTAAATCGAATCAAAACAACAACTTCAGTTGACAGTTGCCGTTGCCGTTGCCTCACCCACGCGCGGCGACAGTCTGCGAGAGTTACGCAAACTCATGAGACAGCAGGATGATGAGCAGCAGCAGCAGCAGTCCCCAGCATTACAAAGTGAAAATCAATTCAACGAAGACATCAATCAGTGGGCGCTGTCCCTGGAGCAGCTGGGCAGCGAGATCTTTCAGTTTGTGGAGCAGTGCCGCCAGCCGGGCAGTCAATGCCAGCAGAGGCGTGTACAGAGAAGATTTCGAGCACTAAGGCATGGCTACACGGAGCTAAGGGCTCGATTGGAGGCCTTGCAGGTGCACTACATGGCCAGCAGATTGAGCAACGAGGACGAGGCCCGAACTGTGGACAGCACTGTGCAGAGGGTCAAGCTGGTGCTCAGGCAATACGACGAGACGTTGAGGCTAATCAACGGACAGATCTACAAGTTGGTGGATCAATAAGCCATAATTAAAAGTAGGAAAATATATACAAATAAAGTGATTATACCACTAAAAAAAACCGAGATCAAAATCGTCATAGCTTAAAACTAATTTAATTTAAACTAAAACGCACTGATAAAATTTATGAGAGTTTTTGATCGAAGCTAAAGCGATGCTAATTGAAAATTTTGTAGATAAATTAAAAGACAAAGAAAGGGAAAAGGAGCTCGTTAAATATCAATTGGACGATGTAATAAGCTGCCTGAAATTCATAATTAGATTTAAGAATTGAGTGAAAAGATAAAGAATCGGATATATTTAAATATAGGAAAATGTATACAAACAAAAGGAATAATGTAGAGAAGAAATCAATACAAAAAAAAAAACGAGAAGGAACGTGTGAGTCGCTTCTGGGGACGCGACTCTACTTATACCCGTACTCAGTCAGTATATACAGTTAGTATTATCGTATCTTTAAAATTGTGCCTGTCACAGATTTTCGTCCTTGGTGGGGGCGGAGCGAAATTTTGAAATACACTTGTAGCAGTGGGATATCACATGAGCCTGGAAACCAAATTTGGTTGCCCTAGCTCTTATAGTCTCTGAGATCTAGGCGCTCATGGAGACAGACAGACAGACTGACAGACGGACAGACAGACATGGCTATATCGACTCGACCTCATCGTCACAATTTCATAGATGAATTACAAGATAAACTATCAACTATCAAATGCCAGCAAAAAGAGTTAGTCTGGCAGTGAGTTAAATTACCTGCAATTTATGTACTATGTATTTTAATGTTTAAATTAATTTAAAATTTTTAGTAAGTCTCTAATGAAATGCATTTAATTTACTTGAATCTTTATTTATATTTATTTTGTATAATCTCTATAGCGATCCCCATATGCCCGTGGCCACACCTTCGATGAGCGCTTTGGCCAGCTTGGTGTAGTCCATCAGCTGCAGTTCTGGTATCTGCGCCTGCAGACTGCGTGGAAACTCAATGTAGGACATCACCACCGAGTCCTGCTGTTCGCCTGCCCAGCGGCTGACATTGGCCATTAGCTCCTGCTTCGTTTGGTGGCTGCGTTGCAGATACTTTTCCAACGGTGTTCGCACCTTGTGGAAAAACTGCCGTATGGCCGCCTTCTCGCCGGGCAGGACGGCGACGAGCAGCTTATCGGGCCGCTGCTGGGCCATCAGTTGGCTGTTGATCCACGCAAAGATGTAGTACGCCGTGCTGTAGTAATCCTCATTGCCCAATGTGCCATCCAGATCCTCAAAGTACTGCTTATCGATGGCCTCACTGTCGTTGAGTTGGGGCAGCCGCTGGCGTGCATCCTCGATGGTTGAGTGCAGCACCTGATTGTAGAGCCGCTCGACAGCCTCTGCCACGGGACGTGCGAGGGGATTGTAGCCCCGCGAACTATCCGCCGTTGCCTGAATAATCGAACAATCAATACACACAAGTACACAGCATTCTTATCAGTCAGTCAGTCAGTCACTCACCAAACAGATAAGCCCCAGGCCACAGCCAGCGATGCTGATAAGGAGCAGCAGCAGACTCCGCTCTGATCTTGACATGTTTCCGCAATCGCAGCTCAACGGCGACTGAATCCACAGATGCCACAGAAATCCACAAGCCACAAACCCTCCAAAATGTATCTTCGCACTGCTGTTGTTTTGTTGTTGTTTGTTGTTTTTATTAAGCCATAAGTAGAAAATAGTATTTGTCGACTATACGAGTAATAATATTCAAATGTACTGTAGACATGAGCAAAGTAATGGGAAATGACCGCAAATTGAAGTTAACACGAATAAAAAAAAGACACAATAGCAGATGCTGCATCGATCGACCTTGCCCGCACACAGTACGGGCAATAAATATAAGTACATATATACACACACACAAAGACGAACGACTATCGCCAAGATGCGTTCAAATATCAATTAGATTTACGAATTGCATGTCTTACTTGCTATTTACTTAGGAATACAATACTTAGGAGTAGACTTGTACAGAATCGGTAGAAGAATCTCTCTTGGGGTCTCGCTCTCCTTCCCCCTCTCTCTCTCTCTCTCGCACTAGCTCTCTGTTTATATTTAAACATGTTTATATTTTCAGCAATTTTTGGGTGTAGTTGATAACTTACATACCCTTATAATGATATAGATAACACCTTTTTATTAGGATTTACATTTCCTATTTCTCTGTCAGCTGTTGCTATCCGCATACGTACTCTGTTTGTGTCAAATATAATAATAGGGGGAATTTAGGAAATAGTTTTTCTACTTTTAAGTGCTGCTTCCCCTTAGGCATATATCAAATATATCTATAGAAATTTTATTTCTCCCCTATCCACTTCCTGTATTTAAACAGAGATTTGCTTACTGAAAATTATAGCTCTGCTTCAACTATATCGTCTTCAAGTATCTCCTTCCTCAATCCATTCATTTCCGCTTTCCATATCAAATATATATATAAATATGATATGGAAAACTGCTCAATGGAAATTATATTTCTACTTTCCACGTCTCTTTGCTCATATCAAATATATTCTAGGGAGATCTTTGGAATCTCTTTTTCCTCAATCCCCACTCTTCAGCTTTAATTTTTGGCATTGGTATATATATATTCTTACAGCTATTAGTTTCCTTAAACTATATAATATTTCTAAGCTTTATAGCTTTTATTATTTATTCTTATTGCTACATTTAGAATCGCACGCTTTATGTTCGAGTATGGCAAATATTTTTGCGCTGTTTTGTACTCTTTAAAAAACCAATAAAAAAAAAAAACAAAATTGCAATTACAAAAAATTGACACAATAATTAATATTAAGATTATCTACGGCTAACAACATTGACATTTGACATTGACTTTACGTACATACTATATACGATATATATATTATATTTTATATATCCAATACATATATGATGTTTAAGAAACGTTTTTGAAACTGTTTTCTTAGCTCTGCTGATAGGTGGAGGAGGACGACAACAACGACAACAATTGTGTATAGAGGTTTTTGTTTTATGTATTTTATTGTATTGAATTGTAGGTACATTTTGTTGGTTATTTTTTTGTTTGAAGAACATTCCACATTGAAACACCGAGTTTTATATTGTATATTTGATATAACATTCGATATATTCGATATATGTATGTATGGTTATTGTATTGTATGTATTACAGCTGAGTTTTTTTCTGAGCATTGTACTTTAGTTTTGTCGATTAACACATTTATATTTCTATATTTCAATTGATTTTTGGTTGGATAGCAGCCATTTTTGTTAGAGAGATTTTTGTTTACACCTAAAGCATTGCATGAAGCTACACAATTAATGCTGCATATATTTTCTTTATATTTTTTACGAGTTTTTTCAAGGTACATCTGACGTCTGGCTCTTTGGGGGGGCTACGGCTTCCCGTTGCCCCAGAGTTCACAATAATCGAAAAATAATAATCCAAAAATCAACGAAAAATAACACTTAGATCTGTATGTATTTTCCCTACAGCTATATCTTTTAATTAGTAATAGTAATTAATGTAAAAATAGTTAGCATATGTTTTTTGTTAGTAAGAAAATATATATATTTGCATATTTTTATATATTTTAAATTTTAAATTCTGTTATCTAGAAGACAGTCCATGGAGTTAGAGCTTACAAACTAAATTCTGAGATATCCAAATAGGGAGGGGGGAAAAGGGAAACTATTTTAATTAGGTGTGAGGTTTTCTACATTTTGGAAAGCGGTGCTACAATTTTTACCTACTATCAAGCGGAAAGTATCTTTATTCTCTCTATATCTCAAGCTGAAAATATGCTCTGTATATATATATTTGACATCTGATCTGATTTCTGCAACAGTTGTTCACTTACATTTCCAACTAGCAACACTAATATAAGTACTATAATTAATAGGTATATTTGTTGTAGTATCCTTTTGTCTAGCCTACATTTCACCCACACAATAAGGACCCTTTGGCTGAGCTGTAGCTGGGGGAGGGCGCCTGCTCTACTCACCCGTTCCGTTATGGACTTCCCTTTTGAAGAGACTTCTACACTTTTGAACTTCTTGGATTTTGTTTCTGGGGAAATATTGTCCTCAAAGCAGAATATGTCGCACACCAAAGCCTTCTTTTCTTCCTTATAGAATAAAACCCACTTACACTTACACATTTAATACGTTGAAATTTTTCATACGCTTCTTGTTTGCCGGCACAAAATAATACACAGAAAATAGACAGAATATTGTTTGTTGTATGTTTAAATGTTTGATGATTTATTTGTATGTGTCTGTGTGTGTGTGAAAATTATACATAATAAATGTCAAGTCAAAAATGCAGTTCCGTTTTTTATGTTACAAATTAAAAACTAAAACTAAATTAAATGCAGAGTTTTTGTGAAGAACTGAGCAAAGGATAGCCGTAAGTATCCGAAGGAAACAAATGTTACAACAGAGAATCATGTGTTTAAAACCAAGTGAAAGATGAGGAGTATATCTTCAAGGGGATATATTTAAATGGGGAATATATCTGGCGAGAGATACAATCCTCAAAGAGGTGGAAAGATACCTTTAGTGGCTGTTCCCTTCAAAGAGGGTTGCACCCACTGAAAGATACATTAAAAAGTTACCTTACCTTCTTATACTGGTATACATCCACTAAAAGATACATTCAAAAGATATACCCTCTAAAGAGAGCCTTAAAAGATATCCTCCCTAAAAGAGGATCAGGATAACAAGAGATAGTAGAAGGAAAAACTGTTTCACTTTTTATCACAATTGCGTATGAAAAATTTCTTTAATTGCTAGAAACTGCCACGCCCACCACTGCCACGCCCACCACTGCCACGCCCACCATTGGAGCTGCCCCCGCTGCCGCTACTGCTGCTGGCTGCCTGTGGCACTAGTATCCGTGGCAGGGTCATTGAACGCTTCGGACAGCTATGCCTGCCACCATCTGCCTCAGGCTCTGACGCCAGTTGAGTGGAGGAGGAACCAGTACATTCTTCTGCGGTTTCCATCTGCTCCTGCCTGGGCTTCTTGGGGCCATCTTCTGGCTGCTGTGGCAAATGTCACGCATACGACTGTGCCGTCTGTGGCATCATGCCCGCGGCGGGGTAGCCACCCTCCAGACCGGGCGGTCGCTCCACCAGATTCTTGAGACGCCCACGCAGCTCTTCGAGACTCTTGGACTTCGCCTTGTTGATGCGTTTGTACTTGACGTCCTTGGGCTTGGTCACCGATCGATGGTTCAACATCACACGATTGTAGCAGAGCACCTAAAGAAGGAGGATTCTAATTAGTGACAGTTCCGGAAGGACTCTCTCTATCTCACTCTCTCCTTACCTGATTCTTTCCATTGAGCGGCTCCTGCTGCTGTGGCGGCTGTGGCATTGGCTGCAACTGCGGCACTTTGACACTCACCGTGGTGCACGGTGCATCATGGCTGGGGGATCGCTTCAGGGCACCCAACTGTCGCCGCGGAATCGCAGTGCCTATGCCATCCACACACATCGACGACGACGACTCTTTGGCTTTATCCGCGCTGCCAGCCGCCGTGGGGCTGACGCCATCGATTTGTCCCTCGGTGGAGCTGGAGCTCAAGGCCTTATCCGAACGATTCTTGAATTTATCACGCTTTTCTGCCACATCGGGCGTGGGTTCGGGGTCCTCTTCCACCGAATAAACCGTTTCCAGGATGTCGGGACGTCGCAGGAAGCAATTGTTCCGCCGTGCAGCTCCGTACTTATTCAGATTCGTTTCAATTGCATCGGATATCGAACGGACAATGGTGATGCCATCGCTGCCCAGCACTCCACCGCCGCCACTGCTCCTCCGTCGCGTGCCCAATGTCATGGTGCTGTCCGAATCAATGTCCTCCAGTACCACCGCCGAATCCGAGTCGTTCAGCGAGTCCAATTCGTTGGCATAGCTGGCATCGATCGTCTCCAGGCCGTGGTCCACCAGTCGCGAGGACAGCGTATCGATGACCTTCTGCTGTCGCGCAATTGTCAGCTCCCGATGGTTGAGCAGGCTGGAAATCTGCTTCTGCTTTCGCTTCAGACGTGACTCCAACAGCAACAGCTGGGAGGTCAGCGAGTTCATCTGATCGGATTTCTCCTTTTGATAGCGATAATGCTGCTGCACCTGAGGAGTGGGGTAGGGTATGATATAGTCCAGCCTTAGTTTATTCTCATTCTCAGCATTCTTTTAATTAAAAAACAGCCATTTCTGTATAGCTAAATTTTGACTACATTTTCGTATTTTTCCAACACTGAAAATTTAACAAAAATTATAAATATATTCCGCTGATTATAATCACATAGTTTTCCTGATTCTCCTGATAGGAATATCGTGATAAATAGTTATTTATATATTTTATATAATTCTATCACGATATTCCCTTCAGGAGCATCAGGAAAACTATGTTTCTCAAAAGGAAATAAAAATGGATTTCCCTTATACTCTCCTTCGGAATGATACTTTTTTTTCATACATTTTCAGTTCAAAAACTATTCCTAATAATTAAAATTCTTGCTCGTAGTCTTTCTACCATTAAAAAAAGAATCTCCTTTTGGTTTTTCAGAACTCACCTGCATGGCATACGCCTTGCGCCACTTCATAATGTGCTCCGTTTGAAATCGCACCTTGGAGCGCAGCTCCTCGATCATGGCCCGTGCTGTGTGCAGGTCCTTGGGATCCTGGTTCATCATGTTCAGGCGCAAATTGCTGGTGTGTGTCGAAACAGGCACCGGCGGTGGCCATTGAAATTCCAACGGGGGCTGATTTACATCCGTTGGCAGCGAACCCCTCGGCTGGGCCGATGTCTTGATTGATTTCGGCGTGGAGGGCACAGTGCCCGCTCCACTGGAGCCGCCGCCTGCACGTCGGACACCAGGAACCACTGCTGTTGCTGCCGCTGCCACAGCCACTGCTGCTGCTGCTGCACCATTCGGTGTGGATGCGGATGAGGATAAGGTTTCTGTCGTCGTCGTCGTCATGGCTGTGTCTGTGCCTGTGCCTGTGGCTGCGGGCTGTGCTGCGGCTTGTGGCTGCTTCTGTATGCTGCATGCCATGCTGCTGATGGTTTTGGCAAATTGTGTCGCTCGCCCGGCATACATTTGGCTGCGAGGGAGATTGGGGAGGAGAGCTCTACAGCTATTGGATGTGTGGTGCTATCTGGTGCTTGGCCAGCATGCAGCAAGCTTCGTTGGCTGCTGCTCCTCCAAGGGGATGGATGTCCTGCCAGCTGCTTCTCCCTCGATGGCTGGGCTGGGCTGGTTGATGGTGGATGGGATGGATGTGCGCACTGGCCCGTTCTTGACTACGTGATTTGTGTGGAGAGCTGCTTCTGCTTGAAAGGAACACAACACAGAAAAAAAAAAATACATACATAAGAGTGGCACATGTTTTATTAATAGCCACACACACACACATCGCTCAGAGGGGGGGCCATGCAACTTGTGCTGCTGATCCACTCGAATTTTGTTACATTTTTTTGGCTACCTAAAAGTTAACTTTCCAACTATTTTGGGGGGCTTTTCAGGTGTTTATTCCGCTGAATTTCCGTACAAAAATTGATCAAATGAATTCCGCATAAAGCATACGCCTCGTATGCCCTGGCCCTGCCCACCAACAGCCCAGCGAATGCAACAGCCAAAAGCGAATGGGAAAATGGCATTATGCAAAAATGTACATTCATTAAATTCACATTAAAACACAACAGAACAGAGTCAGCGAGAAATTATTCATTTCCAACATTCCTCCAGTGTTTTATCCTCCTTTAAACAATTATAATTATTCATTTATATGCAATTTCGGGTTCTGATTACATTTTCCTGCGGGGCTAATTCATGCACACACACCAGGAAAAATCAGGAAAATTGCCAAAGTGGAGTGTGGAGTGGAATTTGTTTTAGTGTTTTTCCAGGGCGTAAAGAGGCTGACGTCAGGGCCCAAAATTTAATGGGTTTTATTACATTTATGACTGATAAGCAAAATGTACCATTTGGGAAGTTTTATAATTTGCAGTTTGAAAAGGGAGTGTCGGCAGAGCGCTATTCCCTGCTAAATGCAATTAAATTTAAATGCAAGCCATGGGGTAATCACATCTTAAGATAACAATTAAGTAATTATCTATCTCAGCAAAGTATCCTGAAATTTAACGACTCGACGACTTTGCTTTTCTTTCGGGCAAGGGGGCGCTCAAGGGAAGTTTTGTAATGAATTTCGGAGAAATAATTCCACTGCACTGCTGCGCTTTTAATCCACAGAACAAATTGAAATTATCTATTTAATCTGTTTTGTCGCTTGGCCAAGAAGAACATTCGAGGGCCAAGAAAATGGCAAACAGACAGCCACAACAACAACAAACAGACAAGAAAGAAAAGACAACGAGGCGGGGAAAAAGAGCAACGCCAAAAGGAAGACAAAGTCGCAGAAGGAAGAGCAACGAATGCCAAAGAATGAACAACATTTTTAACATTTTCATTTAAAGCTTCATTCAGCTTTAATTTGTGACCATGCATCGGGAAAACGTGGTAGATAGACAGACAGAGCAGCATAACATGGAATTAACCGTCTTTAAAGAGTGGCAGAACTCCCCTTCTTTGGAGAGTGCTTCCATTCGGGCTAAGGAGCTGCAGCGAAGTGTCTTTCACAGCGAGTGATTGACTTAAGAACTTCCGTTTCCACAAAAGCCACAAAAGAATGCCACAAGAAACGGGGGGAATTCCATTGGAATGCAGTTGGGAGGAAGGCTGCAAAAGCAGAACATGCAATTGAAAACAATTAACAAATATGCCAGACGTGGAGGCCCTGGGACACGCAACTTCAGAGTGAAGCTCTAGAGATGACAGCGTGAGGCAGCTAGAGGAGGCAGCCTGTCTAGGGGGAGAAGTCTGGACTAACGCAGGTAGAGGGATTTTATTATTTGACCTCCCCCTTAACCGCACCAGAATATACTAGGTTAAACGCCGTAAGAGACAGAACGAGAGACATAAATAAAATATATGTGTATATATTTTGCTTTTATTCTGCCTTCTAGTAGCACGTAGAATCGAAGTACAGAACCAAAAAAAAACTTATGTAAATATGTACATACAATATGTACAATGTAGTTACATACATACATATGCATACCGAACGATACAAAATTTTTTTTTCATTTTATTTTGTGTATACTGATTTTTTACAGTTTCTGTCTATTTTATTTTTATTTTTTATATAGTTAATATTTAACTTTATTCCGAAAATACTAACAATATTTTTTCTTTGGACTAAGATTATCGGCAATACATCGAATATACTTCACACTTCTTGCCGTATTGTTGCTGTCCGTATTTGCTTTGAGCCAAGCCAAAGAATGTAAGTATTCCCATATACTCTTACAGATACCAATAAATCATATCAAATACAAAAACAGAAAGCAAACTGCAGGATGAACATTAAGAATTTGGAAGAAAATAACATGCAGCAGAAGTTGCGGGTACAGCAGAACCAGCGAAGCCCTTTGGATTCCCAGATGTAATACCGAATTTTCGTATTCTTTGATTTCGAATATTAGAATAATAATATCTGAATTATTGCCTCAATAATTAATACATATTTTTGTTTTTATTGAGAGACTTTTCAATGATATTTTGTAATTTTTATCAGTAGTGCCTTGCACTAATTATGTATTATTTGACTACCATTTTGAGTGATGCCAAAGAATATGTAGAACGAGAGTTTGTTCTAGGTCTAGGCTCCAGCTCGTGCCTAGAGTTTGAGGCCTGGTAAGCTGGTTAGCAGCTGCATTAAACCCGCTCACGCACTCATCTGCAGAGTGAACACATCATACGAGAACAACTGCAGAATGACTGACAACTGAACCCTGCTCTCACGCTCTCATCTCCAAAGAGAGTTGCGCATACATATGTACTGAGGAATCTCGAGATGGCCTGTTGCATTGCATTTGCCCATCCGCGTCTGACACAATTCGCCAACTCATTCATCATTCTTAATTATGACAATTGCTGAACAACCGCACAATGATGATGGGACGATGGGAAAACTGCTCGTTCTCACCTCATAACTTGGTCCTCGTCTCTTGTGCGTTGTCTGAGAAATGAAATGCGGCTCACGTGCCCATTAGCCTTGGTAATTTGAGCTCTGTCTGTCTGCCTGTCTACCTGCCTGAGGGCCAAAGGCCACCGCTCCATTTGGTCGGTTCAATTTATGGCCGTCCATTCGAAATGCAATGCCTTAATTAAGAACCTTCTGGCCTGTAACTGGATTATGCAAACCCCCCAAAGCCATAGTCAGAGCCACAGCCACAGCCAGAGCCTCAAAGTGCAATCAATCAGTCGAACAGTGAGAGGTCTCTTTGGTCTCCATGCTGTGGTGTGGTGGTGCTCAATAATTTCCACCTTGATGCTGTAATTGAAATGTGACAAACTATTTTCGAGCTGTAAAATTAATTGAAATTATGACAAGAGCAAAAGCAACAGCACACAGCCCGGGTACATCCATTGCCAGGTAATGTCATCCCATCCACATATTGTGACAGCTCTACGAATTACGAATGGCCAGGCAGGCCAGCCTGACGCCTTGACAGCAACCCTCTTCTCTTTGCTCTTAGCTCTTTGCATTCCGAATGAAATGGCGGCTATTTTTGGTCAAACAAATGTGAGAGAGTGCCTTGTAAAATTCATGGCTTGGCTTTAGGGCTGGCACAAGCTACAGATATTGATATACCTATATTTTTCTTTATATTTTACTATATAAAATTTATATAGCTATATTTTTCTTTATATTTCTTTAGTTAGATGTTTTCTGGAATATATAAAACCAATGAATATCTAACATTTTTTAAAGTCAAAGTCATTTCTAGATAACCTTTCATAAGCTTCCACTTACTTTCTTTATATTCTTCGACTTCTAATCATACATAGAATATCACCTACTCAAATACATTGGGCCCTCCTCACTCTAAAATCCAGCTATCCTTTATGAAATTGAACCCCTTAAAATCCTTTAAACTTACGATTTTTTTGTGGATTTTCGTATTGCTTTTTTTGGCATCTTTTTTCCGTACATCTCTAGTTTTGCTGGACACACAATTTTTGTGTAAGAACCGTTTTGATGTCCAGCTAATTAATTACATAACTGTCGCTCCCCATTTGTCTACCTCTCCCTCTCTCTCATGCTGCCTCCTTTCTCGTAATTTTTCTCTCGCTTGCGAGCATGTACCCCGTTCTTCTGTCGTGCGAACAGTTACCGCAATTGGATTTATGTGTTAAACGTGATTTTTACACAGTTTTTACACAGTTTGGGCCCCGAGACCAGAAGCCGAAAGGCAAACACACAAATAAAGTGGAGTCCCCCCACCGACCCGGCAGCGTAGGTAAATAAACACCCTACACACACACACGCACATACACGCACAGGACAACCCCTACAACCAATATGGAAGGAGTACTGGCAATTATACAAACACATGCAGGATGGAGAATCCGTTCCCAGGGCCATTTCCTGGTGACTTTTCCACGTTTTTTGTTTGTTTGCTTTCACCTTGACCACGAGAGGGACACCAGGGACAGGAGAACATGAAAGGAAATTGTGTTAATGATGTTAAACGACAGCCCATAGAGGACCCCCCTTAGAACCCCATTTAAGTTGTGGATCCTTCCTTATCATTATACTAATTTTAAACACTTTTCCTTTCTGGGTTTATGCTTTTCTCTCTGGTTTTTCTCTTTCCCCGTTGGGGGTTTTCCCTTTCCTCCGTTGGGTTTTTCCTTTCCTCTTTGGGGTTTTCCCTGTCCCGACTGACCTGCTAATGAGCTGTCTTGATATTTCCGACCAAACTATGTTTTGGAAAGTGGAAGAAAATTCCCATTCCCTGTAGAACTCCTCTGGCAGCATAACTATCCCGCTAGAACTCTAGAGAAAAACTTTATTAATTCCTAGTTATGTTTCACAGCCAATTCCCAGTTGTAATTTTCCGCGTAAAAAAAACTTCATCTGCGGCTGCATTGCAGGCAGATGCAAAATGTTGGCATATTTTCTCTCCTCTCTCTTCAGCGACGAAAATTAAGTGCCTTCTACCACATTTTTCACCTTTGAGGCAACAATAAATTGCAAGCCATTTGCCAGGAATGGAATGGAGTACTCCTTGTGGCTTTTCTCTGTGTGTGTGTGTGTGTTTTTATTTTTCTCTCTGCTAGAGAATTTAGTATGCCTGAGGTCCTGTCTATTATCGGGGCGACAGGTGCTCTGAATCCAGGTGACCAAGTCCCCAGGGAGGCGGCCTCATGGTCCCTTTCGTGTAAAGGCAAAGTCTTTCTTCCCTTTAGTGTCTCACCCTCT